AGCGCTGTTGGTTTCACCAACATCGCTGTTGGGCTGGTTTAGCCAGACCCATGGTTGGTTTAGTCAGCCGTTAGCCGATGTCAAAAATGTAAGTTCTCCAAAGTAAAAACCAAGTATTGAAAATGTTTGTTTAATGCATTTTGCTAAGAAATCAAGTAAAACGTTTTGAAAACCACGTCATTTAGTTGAAAACCACGGCTAGCCAAGTTTACGCTGTTTCGCATGGTTTTCACTAAACGACCAAAAACGAAAGGTGGTTTTTGAAGCGTTTTTGTTGGAGAACTATTTAAATGTGCCCAGAAGTAAAAACCAGTCATAAAAGGTTGAAAACCACTTGATTGGTTCGGACGCCAAAAACCAATGCCGAAAACCGAAAGCCGAACGCCGGTTTCTGAAAGCCGAACGCCGGATGGCTTGGTTTTTGGCTTGGGCGAACTCCAAGTGTTTTGAGCCAAGTTTAAAACTTAAGAAAAATATTTTTGAAAATGTAACAGAGATTTTTATGAATTGAGCCTAGAGAGCCAAGATTTGGAATTTTGTGCCGGTCTTGATCACATTAAGACCGACTCAATACAATTCTAGTTCTTCGTTCTTGATTCTGGGTTCTTGGTTCTCAAGTCATCATGCCATGTTCCTTCGCCTTAGTTTTGCTCACTTTAGCTTCGATATGTCGCGGCGGTTTGGCATTATCAAAACCTGTCATAAAGACGAACACAGTTTAGTACGACGGAGGCGTAAACCCGTGTTCCAACAGTGAGTTCGTCTATGTGCATAGTCAAAACGTTAGATATTTCTCAGATCACTTAGATTCAATGCTGAGCATGTAGCCCCTTTTTCCTATTTGCTACACGTAGGTAACATGAATGATGAATAAGGAACTATCTTGGAGGGTAGTGAGGGCAGAAATGTGGATGGATGCTGGTTGGAAAAGTTATCTAGTTTATTTATTGCATTTCAATTTATTATGGGCAAGAACTCAAAGATATATTTTGAATTAAGTATTTAACGCTTCCGCACTGTTTTTGTTAACTCCGATGGATGTTTGAAATAATGTTTTGATTAAATGTTTTTAAATTGTTTTGAAAATTATTGTGTTTGATACCAATTTAGTAGCAACCCAGTTTGCTAACTCGTTGGTTCGGGTTACGCGGGTTAGGGTGTTACACTAAGGACTGAGTCATAATGCAGTTTTGGATTGCGAACAAGAGTCACACCTACCACGTCCTTGGGATGATGGACTTTGACAAAAATACTCAAAAGAACCCGCATCAGGGCAAGCTCTGGATCCATGACCTCGGTAGAATCTGGTTGCCAGTGCTCAGGGTGGTGGTCTTGAAGGACATTTCGAATAAATTGAGGGAGAAATTGGATATTGGAGACAGAAATTACAAGGTAAAGCTCTGAGTTTGAAGAGGGAAAATGAAGAAGAGAGGAAGAACCGTCCTTGATGGGCGTTTATAGATGTTACGTTACAGCACACGACTCGAGATACTACGCGAGTGGTAGTTGTGCTTTTTCTGATTCGACACGGGATCCAAAGACTTCTCATCATTAGTTTTTGAGTGATACATCACTAGAGAAACTAGGGGGCTTGTGATGGATATCAAACCGAGTGAGTAGAGCACGTAAGCCCAAACGTGTTGTTCCAAGCCCAATATGAAACATACCTGACCGAAGTAAGAATGGAGTACCAATCCTAATGATCGCGAGTAATTAACGACTTGTTCTCTGCCCACAATTGAGAGACATCATGCCAATCATGCTGAGAACGTACGACACGATTTAATACCATGTACGTAGCAAAGTTAGACTTTAAATAGGGGATGAAATCTCCATCGTAATGGAAACTAAATCAAACTAATACAAGTATTACTCAGATCATATATTCCGAGAGTTTATCATTATTTCTTGAAATTTTTGCCCATGTTCTTCGCACCTCTATAATTGGTGGGCTCAATTCCATCCTGTAGATTTGGTTCTTGGTGCGAATTGGATTTATTTCCATTTCAGATATGATTTTAGCATGGTATATTTCGTTTTAAATTAATTAGTTTCGGGCTGCAATTTATGTTTTCTATTTTGAATCTTATTTTTTTTAATTTCATCTTCCTTTTAGAATTTGATTTCGTTTTTTGTGTAGTGCACAAGATTCACAGCGTTTTAGATTTGGATTTCATTTTTTTAAGATTTGATTTTGTTTTTTTAGATTTTGTTTTTGTTATAGTGCAAAAGAATTTGATTTGCTTAGTCTTCCTCCGTATGGGTGATATAGTTTCTTCTTGGGTTGATCACAACTCACAAGAGTCTAAGAGTATTTTGGGATGAAAAGTAGTGCAAATAGATTTTTCGTTGCATCGTTTAATACCGAAAACTCCCAATTAAAAAGTGACAAGAATGAAATGGGATGAAAATGAGAAAAGTAAAGAGCGAGTAAAGTGGTAGAGTAGAAAGGTTGTGTCCACATAGATAACGAGATTGGTTAGGAATCGAGTGCAAAGTACAACTAAATAATAAACACTAATATTTAATTGTTATACGTGAATCAAGGTCTAATAGAAGGAGAACAAAGTGAATCATTTGCAAGAGAATAGAACTAAAATGAAATGCAAGAGACAAATGAAAGTAAGAGAAAATCACTCCGATTTCTTTTCCATGAAAATTGGGAAAGAGTTTTCTAGGTAAGAACCCACTTCCATAGCGCTCATATCAGAATAACTACAAACAAATCAAACAAACTTTTCAAGTTTACTTCACTTTCGTGGTAGGGCTTGAGATGGAGACTTACGACTAGGGTTCTAAATTCTGATTCATTGGTGATTTAGAAACCATTCTCGAACACAGGTATACCATTATGGACAAAAAGACATGCAAAGTCTAGATAAAGCACAATCTCCACAAACAACCTAGATCAATATTTCACAATTCACAACAATCTAATGACAATGAACACAAATTAGCAATCCATCACCAACCTACGCTAGAAAAATTAGTCTATCATGCTAAAATCTAAATGATGCATAAAAGATAAGAGAGTATAAAACAAAATAGAAAGCATAGATGAGAACCAATAAGATAGAATCTAAACTAAGAAGCAAGTAAATAATTGTAAAGAGTAAAATTTAAATGTTGGAGCGCCAAATTAAAATGGCATATGAAGAAGATGAAGAAAAGCTAGTCTAAGAATATGAAAATGAAAATGGGCTAGGGAAGCTAACAAAGAATTGAAAATGCGGGAAAGAAACTAAAATTGTCTTGATCAACCAACAACTAGCTAGGCTTCGTGGAGAAATGTGGTGTTGGAATCATTGGGAGAAGTGTATTGACCAGAGTACTCACTAGTGAAAGTGGTGGAGTTCAATTGAAGCGTGTAAAGGTCTGACGCCTCATCCAAAGCGTTCATTTGACCAACCATCGTCACATCCTGTGGCACATGGGATCCATGACTCCATGGCTCTTTGTTCAACTTCTTCAACCTCTCAAGCCCCATAACCACTTCCTTCATCGTAGGTCTATCTTCGCCATTCTTGTGTAGACATTTCTTTGCAAGCTCCGCAACACTCACAACTTGTTCCATCGCCCCTTCCCTCAAAACTCGACGATCCAAAATTTTGAACAATTGATTCTTATTCATGGAGATCACCACATGGGCCGCCAAACCCGCATCCTCCTCGTTTCTCTCTCTAGATACTGGCTTCATCCCGGTCAGAAGCTCACAAAGTACCACTCCAAAACTGTACACGTCACTCTTTTCAGTTAACTCGCCCGTCCTGTAGTACTCAGGGTCCAAGTACCCAAATGTCCCTTGGACCAAAGTGGCTATGTGCGTCTGGTCCAAAGGGATTAATCTAGATGCGCCAAAGTCTGCCACTTTGGCGACATAGTTATAGTCTAGCAATATATTGGCTGACTTTACGTCTCGATGGAATACAGGAATGGCCGCGGATGAATGGAGGTAGGCGAGTGCACCGGCTGTTTCAGTAGCTATTCTTAAACGGTTTTGCCAAGACAACCAACTGGAGGAAGAGGAGCCATCATGTTTGTGGATGTGATCATAAAGAGTTCCATGGGAGATATACTCGTAGACTAACAAAGGAACTTCAGCCTCCAGACAACAACCTATGAGTTTGACCACATTACGATGGTTGATTTGAGTGAGGATGACAACCTCATTGATGAACTCTTCAATTTTGCTCTCATCCATTGTCTTTGATTTCTTAATGGCCACTATACGGTTGTCATGTAGGATTCCTTTGTAAACGACACCATTTCCTCCTCGGCCAAGTTCTCGGTCACTCGAGTAGTTGTTGGTGGCTTTCTGCAGCTCCTCAGCAGTGAAGATTTTTGCCGCTTCTACGCCGCCACCATCTGATGCAGCTATTCTCTGCTTCAAGATCAAACCACCATTTTGTTGGAAGAATTTTTCTCGAAGTTTGACGAGTCTCCTTTTCTTGATGAATAAGTATAACCATGCTACTGTGACAACCAGTGACAAAAGGCCTATCCCCAAACCTGCATTTTTTGCATTGTTCAATCAAAAAAGTTGGGGGAAAATCACAAAAGTTTAAAAAATGTGAAATTGGAAATATATTTTTTAAAACGGTATAGTGTAGTAAATAATTACCAATAGAAAACTTGATCCATGGGAAATTTGAATGAGTTTCAACACAGCCATGTCCATTCTTTCTACCATCACCAGTGTACCCATCTGGACAAGAGCACATATAGCTTCCAGGCGTGTTTGTGCATATCTTTACGCACGGGTTCTCATTTGGATTTTCACACTCGTTCACATCTATAAAAAACATCAAATAGTAACTTCATTTTGACTTTTCACAATCCCAACGTAATATTTTGTTCATTAATATCTTTATTTATATATAAATATATCTTATAAAAATAGTATGAATGTATTTCAAAATTACATCTAAAATGAACTTATTGGTAATAATTTTTCATCATAGTTCAAGTTATCTTTCGGTACTTTATGGTCAAAGTTTAAAAATATCGATCACCAAAATCAAATAAAAAATAGTTCCTCTGTCTTAAAACATTCTTCATATTTTGGTTTACGAGGTTTGACTTATATCATTTTCAATTCAATTATTTGATTATATGTATAAATTTTAAAACTAAAAATTATATATTTGAAAACTATATATAAAGCTCTACAGAACTAGAGGTGGTATGACTAAATTATTTTATCAAGAATATGCTAAAAGTCCACCCACGATAACAGTCATATATGATTTTATACATACACAGATGATAGTCATCTCTATCCACTAATGATTATCATTTGTGTATGGATCAATCATCCGTGATTGTCATCCATGGTGGCAACGGTGGTAGATTCTTAGCATTGCTATTTTATGAAATGACAAACGAAAATAGGTAAACATTTTGATTAAGTTTGACCATGTGAATAATAATTGGAAAAAAAGTTTTAAGGCGAAGAGAGTATGAAATGAACAAATAAAGGAAGTAATTTTTAGAGATGCTATAAACTTCCAAACGCTTCAGCCCATTACAATAGTTTGTATGCTAGTAAGGCTCTCTTCATTTGGAATGGAAAAGTTAACTCCTATTAGGAATAATAGGAAAAAATACTGTTATTAATTGATTTCCTTACTCCATTATTTCTAATTGTTATTCTACTTTATGATTAGGATTTTCTATTGTAATCCATATATATAGGGGTTGAACCTTGATTATCATATAATACCAATTAGTATCAAATTGTATCATGATATTGGAGCAAGGGTTTCTCACTCTCCAAAAAAGTAGTGTGTGTGTTTAACAGTTGCCACAGATCATGACGAGCGTGCGTAACAACCATTGTTCTTTATCCTTCTCTTTCTCTCCAAAACAATTATGAGTGTGCCAAATAGGCGACATCCTTTATCTCTCTATCTCTCTTCGTAAAAAAATCGTGTGTGTGATCAAAGAACAGGAAAGCTGTATTTGTCTATGTTTCTTATAGGGTTTTAGAGCATGGAAAGCGATAGAGAAGCAGACAAAGGCTCATATGGAGAAAAAAGAAACTTCATGTTGTCGCTCCAATCGCCATCACTCTTCTTAGGAAAACTCAGCAAACATAATCTCAAGGTTGTTTGTCATGCAACGAAGATTTGTGTCTTTACTTCTAGCGACTATCCTCACAAAACCTTTTCCGCCAACTCCATCCCTATACATATCCTCCAAGTTGCTCCTCGTTACCGAAGATCAGCATGCAAAGAGATCTTATGAATAATAGGAAACAAATATTGTTATTAATTGCTTTCTTTATTATATTACTTCTACAATTGTTATTCTAAGATATCATAAGGATTTCCATATTTCTACATGGTATCAGAGCCAACTCCCTATGAAAGACAGAGCCCTATGCTCTTCTTTTTTCAACCGCTGCCATATCTGCACGGTGTCGCCGCCATGGTTCGTGCTCCCATCGGTCATCAGTCGCACATCATCGTGTTCGACATATTTTTTTTGTTCATTGCTCTGCTTCTTCACGCGATTCATTATGATTACCGGGGAAACAACGAAGAAAGTTTGTTTTATTCACGATCTGACATTATCGTATTATCTTCATCCTTCCAAAGGTGTTGGTATCTCTCTTACTAAATATGTACTGAAGGAAGACAATTTTGATGTTTGGGAGAAGTCTATAATCAACGCTTTGGGAGGCCATAGTCCCGCCAGTTTTCTCACCCCTTACGGGCTTTCCAAAGCCGATCTATGAACAAGAATTGGTTGCCTGGAAGGCAAATAATTTTATTATTTGAAGCTGGCTTTGTAACAGCATTGACAAATCTATTCAACACCCTCTTACTTCTCATAAAGTAGCACATGAACTATGGGAAGACTTGAAAGCTTGATATGTGGGATCCAACGGTCCTCGTGAATAGCATTTGAAAATAAAGTTGATCTCTTTACGGTAGAAAGCACATAATTTTGTGGTTTACTATAACCAATTATCACTTTATGGAACCAATTATATGGTTTGGTGGATCCTATTTTTGGATGCAGGTATGAGGCCGCCATTCAAATTCGCGCTTGTGAGGAGCGTGAGAAAACCCATTAGGTTTGGATGACGAACAGTTTGGCTTCATACGTTCTCAAATCTCGGTGACTGAACCAATCCTGAATTTGAATAGGGCATATTCTCTAGTGGCACAGAATAATGCCATCGCAGCCTTGTACGAGAATGCGACGACCGTACTGACAGAGTATCCTTTGCCGCACGTTTCCCATCACCCACGTCCAATGCACCCTCTTTTTTGTGCACTCATGGTGGTAAACAAGGGCATACCGTAGATTGGTATTATCAAGTTATTGGATATTAACCAATGCGTGGATGCGGTTGTGGGGGGCCGTCGTTGCATGGAGGACGAGGCAGTAACCGAGGAGGTTACAATGGTGGAACATGTCAGCCAGGCCGAGGCACTTGTACTGCCCTCGGTTCAGCGACAAGGGGAGCAAATTCGGAAACCAGTGCATTCACCCCAAGTAGGTGGTTCGCCTACTTTCTATGCTTGAAACCTCCTCATCCGAGAAGGATACTGCTCCGACTTCAGACTCCTCATGCGATTGCGAGTGGCTAATCTATAGAGTGGCTTCCCGTCATATGACTGGTAATGTCGCTCTTTTAATTAATATCTCGGTTACAACACCGCGTGTAATTACATTGCCAAATGGGTCACATGCCACAGCCTGACATTGTGGAAGTGTTTGGCTATCCACGGATTTAGTGCTTCAGAATGGCTTGTTGGTGCCACAGCTCCAATGCAGTCCTATTTCTGTGGCTTGCTTAATTTGAGACAATGTTTGTCTTGTAATTTTTAACAAACCTTCTTGTGTAATACTGGAATGTGTCACGAAGACGGATATTGGGTGGGGTAAAGCGTGTCATTGAGTTAACATATTTAGTCCTTCCACTTGTGCCCATGCCACACATGCCGATCATGTCCTTCTTCATTAACATCTTGGTCATCCGTCACCACAAGTTTTGTCCTCTTTCTTTACCAATAAAAATAGTACTAGCATGAAAAGGTACAAACTTGTGATATTTGTTTTCAGTCCAAACAGACTCTTTCCGTATTTCCTACTAGTTCTAATAAATCCTCTCAAGTGTTTGATTTGATTCATTGTGATTTGTGGGATCCTTATACCCCTTGTCTAGCTACTGGTGCTCATTATTTTTTCCCATTGTAGATGATCACTCTAGAGCAATTTGGGCATTTTTTATCATTGACACATCTAAGGTGCCCCAGCTGTTTAAAAATTAAAATGATATATTCACACCCGATTCAATAAAACTATTCAATTTGTACACTCTGTCAGAATCGAACATTGATTTGCTCTGGGAGGTAAGAGAGTTGGCCCAAGAAGAACTTTTACATGTGAGAATCGAACATTGATTTTTCACCGCCAATGGAAAAACTCTTTTGACACTTGAGTTAGGTTGCCCACTAGTTGGGTTATGGATAGGTAATGACCAATTCAGTTGTTTTGGTTCTAAATTACTGTGAATTGAATGATATTGTGGAAAACTAAATTCTACCGATTGAAATGCATTACTCCATCCCATAAAAAACATTTTTACGTACTTATTCTTACATTTTTCTAAACTCTATTCTTTTTTTCAATTGTAATCGTTTTATTTATTAGGTCAAATTTCTATATCTTATCGACTATCGGGAGTAAAGGTGTGTGGAGATTTATGAGAAAAATATGCTCCATATAGGATCAAAACATAGTACTTTTCCCTTAATTGGATTAGGTATATTTTACTCTGTATTTCCTTTATGGCACATAATTACATATGATGTGCCACATATGTCCTTACTAACAATAAGTGTTGGATAATGACTAATTATATGAATGACTGTACGAATATGGTCATTAGCAACAAGTGTTGGATAATAACTGATTATTTCAATAACTATTCAAATTATTTTTAATAATGTTTTACTCTACTTGAATTGTAATGCAATATGTCAATTTTCTCAAAGATAGTGCATTTTAAGACTTTCCATTGTCATTTGTCAAATACTAGAGTACATTGGACCGGTCCTATTTAGAGAAAAATGATATACTCCGTATTTAGTAATTACCACATTTATAATGGCACTCGATCAAGAATCACGAGACAAATGTTAAGAGACAAACGTACCTTGGCAGCCATGAGTAATATAGGGGTTCCCTTGATAACCATGGTCACACTTGCAACGGTAACCTCCCGTACCATTGTCCATATCAACGCAATGGCTTTTCCCCAAGCACGCATAGTCCTCCCTCTTTCTTGCTCCCTCACACGTCAGGTTCCCGATCGCCCAATCCAGCACGACGGGTACGCTCGCGGACACCCGCCGGATGAAATTCAGATCACTCAGGTCATCCAATCCTCGGAATTGGAACCGGCCCGCTTCCCCGAGGAAGGCGTACCCGCACGGGTTAGCTGACCACATTCGGGTGTGCCCGTACGAGGTGACCATCGCCCTCACGTTGAGATCCCTCAGCCCTTTCGGGACCGATACTTGACCGCACCCTTGGGCCCCCTCGCAGGTCCCGCCGTGTACCTCCTCGGGCTTCACGCACGCGGACGGGCAGATGCTCGTGAATGACTGCCCGGTCAGGGAGTTGTTGCCCGACACGACCGCCGCGTCGTCGCACCCGATGACCGTGAACTTGTTTTTGTCCGAGAAAGTGTACGGGCTCGAGTTCCCGAGGTCGGTCCGGGACAGGAACTGCCCGAGTATGGAACCGGTCTGGGTGTAACATACGCCGGAGACGGAGGTGGAGACCCGAACTTCGGATTCGGAGATGTCGTAAACCTTTAGGTTCATTATCAAAGGCGTCGGGGGATTATTGGTGGAGGAAGATTCGTTGCAGTTGATCTCGAAGCTCGGGTTTAGAGCGCAACCCGATCCGAGACCGACCCCGAATGGGTAGGGGACGGTCAGGTTTCCGCATTTTTGCGGGCAACCGGGCTTCGTGACGGCGGCAGTGGTTGCGGTCGGAGTTTGGGCGGTGGCCGGGGAAAGCACCGGCAGGATAATGGAGGTAACAAGTTGCAGGAAAACTCCAGCCAAGTTAATGTGGTGGTGCATTGTTTTGATAATTTGGTTTTTTTTGTTTGGGCCTAGACTCTAGTGGAGAAAAAATGTGGATGTATAATACTCCGTAATGATTTTCTTCATTAATTCTTTCAATACAGTAGTCTATATTGGCGTCAAGTTTACTTTGACTTTCGTATATGATAGGTTTACTTTGACTTTCTTACTCCATATATCTCGCTATATCCGTTCACTTTTGACTTTTGGAACTGTTCATCTAAGCACTTTAACTCATCAAATTCTCTCAATGTGTAAGCCTACTAAATATAGTCATGTGTGATCTTGTTTAATTTGTCTTAACATATACTCCCTCCGTCCCAAATTATTTGCAACGTTTGCTTTTTCAGCAATTGCGGGAACTTTTGTTTATTTCTATGTTTTCATTAGTTATTTGATAAAATAAAATATTCTTGACACCTATTATTTCGAAGAACTTTTCATGTAGTTTTTTGATATGTAAATTTTATTCTTTATTTTTATACCAATATGTAAATAAAATGATTTGAAAAAACTTGATATTTTGCCTCCGGAATACAAATGTGGCAAATATTTAGGGACGGAGGAAGTAGATTATTAATATATAATTTCTATAATTTTTTAATATACAAATTACAAGATAAAATGGATTAAAGAAGTGTATTGAATGATGTGTAAAAATAAAACTGGACAAATACTCAGGGACGGAGGTAGTACTTTTTTTGCACCTTCTATCAAATGTTTGAAGTTAGAAATTTATTTAAAATCCTGATTTTAAATATTTAAATTTGAATTTTTAATTTCAAAATATAAAGAGATGTATAGATTTGTAATATAGCCTTGTTGTGAATTTAAAAAAAATGGTCTAAATTAATATTCAAATTTTATATTTTGAAACATAGAATTTTGGTCAAGTTAGAAAAATACGTAGTATTAAAAAAAGAGCAAAAAGTGGGAAGCAAGTCTCGATTTTACAAAAAAAGAACTTTTCTTTTGGATTTTATTTGTTTTTAAGTTGAACATCGAAGGAGGATGTAATTGAAACAATATTAAACTTCCTAGGGTGCATTTTGACATTTGTAATAAGTGAGGATGCTTTCTAATTATTTACATTTTTTAGATGCAAAATGCTATTAGCCACGTCTATGGGCTATTTGGGAATAATTTTATTCATTGGCTTTAATTTTTTGAAAAGGTTATCTACGATCAGCGTTGAAATTTTCAAAGTAGTCTACAGCATCAAAACTTTATTCGAAATGCTAATGCTAATCTCTTACGTTATTCTCAAACAGAAAACTTAAACACCTTCTATCACTATATTATTATTTTGATAAAATACTAAAATAGGAATAAAATATGTATAATGTATCAAAGTAAGAGATTCACATTTTTTATCCCTAAAATATAAATACAATATATAATACAAAAAAACCTTATTAAATGACTATAGCTGTGTTTGGAAAATAATTTTTCGAATGACTTTTGACTATTGGCTTTTTTCACTTAGCTGTTTGATCCAAAAAGTCAAATTTCAGAAAGACAAAGGGAGTAGCTTTTAGACTTGGCAAATAGAAAAAACTAATTTTTAAAAATTGTTTTTCTTGAAAGATAATAAATATTATATGTAAAAAAATTAAAATTGAAAATTTGAAAAAATAAAAAACAAATCTGATGACAAAATTAAAAGAAAAAATTATTAAAAACTAATATACTATCAATTTTTTATGAATTATATGAAATTGAAATTTAGTACTTCATATATTAAAGATTTAATTTTTACACGCATAAAAATGAAAAAAAAACTATATGTGCGTGTCTACACACACACACACACACACACATATATATATATTTTGGTTCTGGTGAGAATGCAATCTTAGGAGAGAAATGAGAATGAATCTGGTGCTTTAGATTGTGAGATCTAAGGGTCAAGATTTCATCAAAATTAGATGCACCAAAATGGTGCAAAAATGCATCACGTTGAAATGCATCATAAACCTTCGAAAATGCACTATCTCAAAATCTAAGCGTAGGATGCAATCTGAGCCGCACGATGCATCAGATCCGACGGCTAGATTTTATTCTCATTTCTCTCCACAAGGTGCATTCTCACAGGAACCGGCCCCTATATATATATATATATATATATATATATATATATATATATATACTCCTAGTATTTTTGAAATAATAATAATGGAGGTCGAAGACATAAAATAACACTTCTCTCTTTGAAGATGCTGTGGCCGAAATTTTAGGGAAAGGAATAATAATCTAAGAGCAATGCTAGATTCACAAATTGAATACTCGCAAACTTTACAAACTTATTATTTATGATTTAAATTTTTATTTTAAAATTATTTTAGATCATTTAATTTTTTCCATAGAAATTCACAAATAGTAAATTTGTGAATTTGTGACTATTGTGTTTGTAAACCAAGCATTTCCCATAATCCAATAATTCCATTCATTTATTATGGTGAATGAGTGAATAATTAAAGGGGAACATTATCCACTACATGACGAAAATGGAGGTCATTTCAAAAACCACTCAGAATAATCACATGTTTTCAATTGTCCATCGCAAAGGGCCGAAAATATTTCCATGATGCTCCTTCCCTATTAAAATATTTTTTCCATTTACTTTTCACACGGTCAAACTTTAATTACTTTCTTTACTTATTTTCATTTGGTATTTGATAAAATAATATAGTCTTGTCCAGTGGCGGATCCAAAAAATATTTGCATGGGGGCGCTTTGATCGATCCACACATTAAATAAAATACAAACTTTTTGGTGATAATAATCTGTGATTTTTTATTTTTAGAAGGGGCGCATGGAAAATTAAATCAATTTTTCTAGGCAATGAATTGAAAGTACAGATAGTCCAACAAGTTTAAAAAATTCTAAAAAGATAAACATAATAATCATTTTTGGTAAATTTCTAGCCAATGGTTTAGAATAAACCTTATGGATAACAAAAATCTATTTTCTCAATTATCTAAAAAAATTAGCAAATTTTTAGAAAAAAAATCAAAATCGAATATGATATCTTCTCAATTATCTCAATAATAATCTTTTACAATCTATTGAATAAATAATTTGATTTCAAACAAAATACAAATAAATAGAGAAAATTAAATCAAAACATACAAAAAACATTAAAATAAATTAAATTTTGACCTAAATACTCACTTTCTTTGGATCTAAAAGGCAAACAAAATGGTTTATTGAGAAAAACTGATTGGATAGGATGGAGAGCTAACAAGTAGCAGGGGGGCTTTGAGTAGGGGGGATAAAAAATTGACTGGGGGCTATTAAAAACTTTTTAAAAAAAATTAGCAAGAGATTTTGAGTGGGGGAAAGTGCCACCAATGAGCCAAAGGTAGATCCGCCCGTGGTCTTGTCACCACTTGTTTTGTAGAAGTTTCGACGTAGTTTTTAAATATATAAATTTTATTTCTTAATTTTACCCCTACAATCAAATAAATTGAATTAAAAATAAAGTCGGTCAAACCTCGTAAACACAAACGGGAAGAACATTATAGGACTGAGGGAGTACATTATTTTTTTGAATAAACTTAGGAGTACATCAAAATGGGATACCTAAGTGTTTGTATTTGTCTGGTATACAAATGCAGTACTCTATATTGGTGTATCTCTAACATGCCCTTACTAATTTTTTTGAAAATGAAGATTTGTGGAGAAATAAAAAGGAAAATAAAAGCACTAAACAACTCATAGTTTCAGTGGAAATGGGTTTGAAGCACCAGGGCTTTAAACTGGAGCTTCAAACCTTTATTTTTAACATTTCAAATATACATCTTCTAAAATTAAATTAATAAAATTTAGTTATTTAGTTCTTTAAAAGAATGGAAAGGAGAATAGTTCATTAAAAAAATTACATTCATTAAAAAAATTACATTCATAAAAAAAATTATATTCATTAAATAAAAAATTATATTCATTAATTAAAAATATTACATCCATAAAAAATAACACTACGAAGAAATTACTGATTATTTGAGTGACTGAACATATGTTCGATCGAATCCGCCTTGGGTGCATTGTGAATCTCTCGGCTTCGAATTTCTTGGCAATTTCTTTGTTTCTTTTCTTCATCGATCTCTTCGTACATAGGCACCTCTTCATCTGGGTTGTAATGACAAATCGCAAACTTGTTGTCCCATATGATCATATTATGAAGAATAATACATGCGTACATGATATTCCTCATTTTTGTTTGAGAAAAACATTTCGACGGATGATCTAGAATGTGCCACTTAGCCTTCAACACCCAGAAGGCTCGTTCCATATCTTTTCTCGCCGCCTCATGAGCTTTTTTGTAGGTATGCCGTTTTAACACCCATTGATTCGGAGAGGCACTTGACAATCGTGGATTATCTGAATATATTCCATCGGTCAAATAATATCTATGCTTGTAAAGCGTCCCTCTAAGCTCAAAGACGAGTCAAGTGCAGTCTCATAAATCCAATCGTTAAAAACAAGCGATTGATCGAGAACGTTGATGTTGTTGTTCGAGCTCGCAACATTGAAAAAAGCGTGCCAAAACCACGAGTCATTTGAAGCAACAGCTTCGAGCATGATAGTAGGCTTGTGATGAACACCCCGGGAGAACTAGCCATGCCACGCAGTGTGACAATTTTTCCTTTCCTAATGCGTGCAATAAATGCTCCCAAGCATGCCGACAAAGTCGTCTTTAGCGGCATGCCTTGCCTGTAACTGCTAAATGTTGCTCGTTGTAGGCTTACGTAAATATCTTTTATGATAAGTTTGAATAATATATTTAGACAGTTTATAAACACAGGACCTAGTTCTGAGCCGACATCTTCAAGTATTCGTCGAACCTATCAAATGTCGTCCTGCATGTATGCCATATGACGAAGCGCGGCAGTGCACTTCTGGACACTGCATGCTAAACTTGCGTCGCCCTCTCACATCAAAGCGTTGGGTGAATTAAGACACCAATATCGACGAGTATGCATAAAAAGAGATGACGACTCATCTGAAAACGATTACTAAAAGCCTTTTGTTTATAAACACAAGGAGTATTGAAGTAGTCGTTGAGAAGTGAAGCATGCACAGCCGCTTGATCCCGGTTTAATTGTTGTCGACGGGTCTGGCGTCGGGAGAATTCTGCTTCTTCTTGTTCGCCTTGTTGCCACCATTGATAACAAGTCATGGCGAAACATCAAAAAATGAGAGCTCTCTTTTCATCATTTGATGAAGATTTTCTCATTTTTAAAATATTTTGTACAAATAAATATAATAAATAAAAAAATATTTGAAAGAATATTTGATAAAATTATAGAGAGAAGATAGAGAGAGATGTGTGAGATATGTTTGTTTTTATTGAATTTATAGGGTTTTTATTGAATTTAATTATGTTTTAATGTGGTAACAACTATTTTAGCCATTGGGAGGGGTGGGGGATTGCGCCAACTAGAGGAAGAGAGGCGTCGAAGTTTTGACGCAACACACCGGTTGGGCTTTCAAAGGAGGTTGATACTGGGGCATCAGCCTTCTAGTATTCTAAGAGGAGAAGAGAAAAAGAAGAAAAAGTGAAAAGTTGTCAAAACAAACTCAAAAGAGAAACCTTAGAGAATAGGGGAGAAGGTATATGGTACAACCGAATGTACCTAGAGATAGGTACCTATGGGGTAGTATTCATTATGAAGTAGGCTAGTACTCATTATCGCACAAATATAATTAGTGTGGTACTCATTCGAAAATAATACAGTACTCATTTTCAAACATTAGTTCAATATAATTATAGTATTTATTTACAAATAATGTAGTGTTCATTCTGAAACAAAATCGTACTCATTCTGAAATAACTTAGTGTTCATTCTCATGTAAAATAACGAGTATAACTTGATGTATAATACTTGGTCCGTCCCTGAGTGTTTGTCCACTTTTGACTTTTGGAACTGTTCATCTAAGCACTTTGACTTATCAAATTATCTCAATGTGTAAGCCTAAAAATAATCATGTGTGATCTTTTTTGATTCGTCTTAACATATAGATTATTAATATATAATTTTTATAATTTTTTAAAGAAGTGAAATCCGAATACTTGTTTTTTTTAACGGGAAAGGGAGAGGAGAAGGGGGGCAACCCGGCGGAGGACTGTGTTGCTGCACTAACACCTCAATCAAAGGCGTCGCCTTCAACTCCTCCGCCGACTCTCTGCTCTTAAGTTCTTCTCGCTCAATGGATGATGAGAAGCGGAAGAGGGAAATGCCGACAATTCCGCCGTACATGAAAGCCATTTCCGGATCTCTGGGAGGAATCGTGGAGGCGAGCTGCTTGCAGCCGATTGACGTGATCAAGACTAGGCTTCAGCTGGACCGCTCCGGTTCGTACAAGGGGATCGTCCACTGCGGCTCCGCCGTCATCAAGCACGAAGGTGTACGGGCTCTGTGGAAGGGGTTGACCCCATTCGCCACTCATCTCACGCTCAAATACGCGCTCCGGATGGGATCCAACGCCGTCCTGCAGTCTGCTTTCAAGGATTCCGAAACGGGGAATCTCAGTCCGTACGGTAGGGTTCTATCTGGCTTCGGAGCTGGCGTCCTCGAAGCTCTCCTCATTGTTACCCCTTTCGAGGTTTGTTTTTTTGAATATAATTTGTTTGGTTTCAGTCTATTTGCTTGATGTGTTCATTTCTATGATGACTTTTCGTGATCTGAAAATTTTACTTGTGCTTCATGGATTGTTTGAAATTACGATCATTTGTTTCGTTTTTGTTGTATAATTTCTATCTTGTGGATCTCCTGGTTTTATGTTGCCAAATCAATGCTAATAATAGATTAATGATCCCTTAATTCACCAAAATCCAAGCAAAGTGAGCTTCAGAAATGGGAAAGTTGAAGTCAATAACTTACACTATGTTTGGTTCAAGAAAGTTGAGAGGGAGAAGAAAAGAAAATGAAATGGAAAGGATTTTTTTATGTTTGGTTAGAGAGGAAAAAAGAAGAGAAAAGTGAAAGAAAAAGAAAACGAGAAGATAAAATAAGCTGAAAAGAAGGAAAACATGATTCTTTCCATTTTGGTGAGGAAGGAGAGAAATCATTTTCTCTGTCTTCCCTTCCAAATTTCATTGAACCAAACATAGGGTTAAGTTTGGCTCATTTTTAGCTAATTATCAAGCTTCGAGTCGTGATTGTGTGGATTCCTTCACTCCCCTTTTCACACTCCATGTCAACTGAGACAATTACTTGATTTTCAGCAAACTGAGACAAGGAAGCTATGAACACAAAGGTTTAGATGAAATGAAGACTTAGTATTCTTTTTGTGTTAATATCTTTTGACTGGATCATCGGTCTATTCATGCCAGATCAAAGCAGCCCACCAAGTCACACAACTCTTGTTGTGTCTAAGAGCCTCAATAGCTGATGTAGTTTAGCTGATGTAGGTGGTGAAAATACAGCTACAACAGCAAAGAGGTTTAAGCCCAGAGCTTCTAAAGTACAAGGGGCCTATACACTGTGCCCGGATGATCATCCGTGAAGAAGGGATCCGCGGGCTTTGGGCTGGAGCAGCCCCAACTGTGATGCGAAACGGGACAAACCAGGCAGCCATGTTCACAGCCAAAAACGCATTCGACACAGTTTTGTGGAAGAAAGACGAAGGTGATGGCCGAGTTCTCCAGCCATGGCAGTCAATGATCTCTGGATTCCTTGCAGGGACGGCAGGACCTGTGTGTACTGGCCCATTTGATGTTGTGAAAACGAGGCTGATGGCTCAAAACAGATCAGGGGGTGATCTGAAGTACAGGGGAATGTTTCATGCTATCTCGACTATATACACCGAAGAAGGTTTGTTGGCTTTGTGGAAAGGTTTGGTTCCCCGGCTCATGAGGATCCCTCCTGGGCAGGCCATCATGTGGGCTGTTGCTGACCAAGTTATTGGCTTGTATGAGAGAAGACATATGCCACTATAGGTATATAGCTTCCCTTTTTATTTTCCTCTCCTTTTTATTGCGGTTTTTAGATCATTCTTTTGCAAAAGCCTGCAAGCTGTTTGATCTCACTTTGATTTCCTAGTTTCAACCGCACTAACATTGAATGACACGGTTCTCTAGTATCCGGCAAGCAGTATTCGAGACAAGCCAAAATTGAGATTTCAGTGTTTGAGATTAAAACAATGAAAATAAAGTGGTTGAGCTTTATTTAGAGTCGAGAAGGATAGAATGTGAACTAGGTAATGTAATTCCTTTACAAAGAAATGGGGAGGTAGTTTTGGAACGTGCTAAAAATGAGAGCAAGAAGATTGCTTAGGAACTAGGGACATAGACTAACAAAATAAGGGTGTTTACTTACTGTTTAGTGTTTAGTACTCCGTAACAAGTCACAAGTCATAGTTCTCTACCACTTTTTAGAGTTTAATCTCTCTGGAAAAGCAAATACAACAACAACAACCCAGTTGAATCCCACTACAGTAGGGTCTGGGAGGGTGTGTGTACGCAGACCTTGCCCCTACTCGGAAGTAGGGAGGCTGTTTCCAAGAGACCCCCGGCTCAACCTGCACAAAAATATGGTAGAGAATACAATATAACAGGGTAACAAGATATAACAGGATATAACAGGATAAAGCACCACGTACAATGAAATGAAAGTCCAGCAAGCAAAAGTAGAAGATTCCAGTCAAACACAACACACTACAAAAAACCTCTGCAGCACCGCGCTCCTAACCAGCTACTTTAATCCTAGTCCGACAACTCTGGAAAAGCAAATATTCTCTTAATTTTTTGGGTTCACAAATAAAAAAAAATGTAAAGAGAGAGAACAACACTTAAATGTACTCAAGTTACTGAGTTTAATGTTCTCCAATCTCTACTTAAGTGCTTCACTTCAACTTTTTTCAATAAAAAAGTGAAGCAAATTATGACTTTTTTTGTGAATACTTAATTAGAAAAAAATGAACTCTATCCTAGGTCTCTCGGGCTAGCTCGGACAGTCACTTGAAAGGAGGTAAATCAAGTTTTAACCTCAACTAGCCAATAAGAAATGAGATTTAATATGTTCATGGTTTAGAAAACGACCCTTTGCTACCCATAGCAGGTTCTTAATAAGTGTCATGAGTAAGTATTTTTATTATATATGAAAATGTTTTCCTACAATAACTTATTGCCTCCGTCCCGATTTAATTTAATTTGAACGGTTTGACTTCATGGAGTTTGAGGAAAATATTTAAAAATAATAAATGGTTGGAGTTTGTTTAGAAGAAAAAGAATAATTATACATCATATTTTTGTTTTTATTTTTAGGAAGCGTGTAAATATGAGGTTAAGCATATCAACACTAGAAGTATCCAAGTAGGAGGAGCGATCAAAATAATAGTATTCTTTTATTACTTAAGTGAGTGCGCCTTTGGTGCACCTTGAGAGCATATTATTTTTATGGACTTTCAATATAAAAATTTTTTTTCTTATTTAACAAAAAACAAATACTTATTTAAATAGTAAAGAATGTTTATTTTGGTCATATGTAGGTATTCAGATTTTCAGATTTCCATATGTTGGTGCTCATATGTAGGATTCAAATTGCTCATAACAAAAAACAAATGCTTAGGTCACTATAGAATTTGCTTACCTAAATAAGCGTTCCGATTGCCACGTCACACTGCACACTACCACGCTACACTGCCACTAAAGCGCTGCCACATTGGCGCCAGACCACAGTTACCATTAGTCGCTAGAACTCCACCGCTGGTCACCAGACCGCTGGACAACCATTGCCAGTCGCGAGACCACCGTTGGAGCTTCGTTGCCGTATTATCTTCACGCTGCCAACATTCCGACTCTGTCAGCTCTTATTTAGGGACATTTTTTAGTGGTGGACACGAGCATGATACTATCAGAACCTATCACGAACCACTCTTGTTTAAACGGTACGTTATGAACCCCAAAACCATTCGGTACCATTCCATTTTGAAACGGAACAGTATAATATCATACCCATGCCTAAATCGTGCCACGAAATTAAACAAACATTACCAAATAATATTAAAGAAAAAGCATAATTTTGTATAGAAAAAGGCACAACTTTGTTAAAAAATTAAAAAGTAATGATTTCGAATCGAAAAGAATTATAAACACAGAGAACACTCCGTAAAAGATAAAGAGTGTAAACTTAAAAATACTCAAAAAGGTTGTTTCCAATTTATACACCTATTACACTATTAATAACTGCAAAAGAATAATGTTCATGGTAGTAAATATAGTAACAAAAATAATAATAAAAGAATAAAAAAGAATACGGGTCCATTTGGTATACGGAATTGAGGGAATTGGAATTGAATTGGAATTAAAATTCCATGAGATTCAATTTCATAGAATTGAATTCATCAATTCCAATTCCTTTTTTGCATTACCAATTTCTAATCCACATAATTTTTGTGCTATCAAACACCAGAATTGGAATTGAAGTCTTCAATTCCAACTCCATAGTTTGAATTCTGTGTACCAAACGGGGCCTAATACAATACAAAGTACGTACTCCATATATGGTAAGATGAAGTATAAAAATAAGTATTTGACATACTCCGTAGGTAGCTTTGAATGGTTCGGTCCATAATAATCTATTTAAATTGTTTGCATCACGGTCCTATCTCGTTTGATATCAATTCGGTTTCGGTTTGTGATGGAAAAAATCAATCTCTTTTAAAAACATTATAAACAATTTTGTACGATTACATTCTGGTATGGTATAATGCTAGTTCGATTTTTTTGTCAACCCCTACATTTTTTTAATGCCTGTATCAAATTATGGAGGTGGAGAGTACCATTTTTTTAACTTATCATTGCTAGTATCAGTTTTTCTTTTAATTGCGATTTTTAAATTTTTTAGTTTTCAAAATTTTTTAATTAAATGTTACTGTTAGTTTTTATTCCAATTAGGATTTTTAAACTTTTTAAAAGAAATCACCCTAAATAAGACGAAAACATATAAAAAGTACCAAAATAGGACTTCCAAGTTTTTATTTCCGAAATAGGAGATCGCACTGTGGTAATGTGGAGGCAATGAGGCATTGTACACATGCACATTACTATATTTTTTGGTAATGTACATGACTGTGTTTGGTAATGTAAATACATTTTAACTCTTATTTCGTGAATAAAAACATGGAAGTTCTATTTTGATACTCCCTCCGTCCCAAAATATTCACAACATTTGCTTTTTCATCAGTCGCGAGAACTTTTGTTTATTTTGACGTTTTCATTGGTTATTTGATAAAATAAAATATTCTTGACCCCTCTTATTTTGAAGAACTTTTCATGTAATTTTTTATATGTAAATTTTATTTTTTATTTCTATACCAATATGTAAATAAAATGAATTGAAAAAACTTGATATTTTGCCTCGGAAATACAAATGTGGCAAATAATTTGGGACGGAGGTAATATATTTTTAATGTTTTACTGCTACTTTAGTCTTTTTCCCATTTTTTAATTTCCAAAGTTCTAGAATTTGAATACTTTGTATCAATTAGTAATTGCTTTAGAGTGTTGATTTTGTTTATTTTAATACCGGAGTATTAAACTTAATGAACTTTCGTTTTTGTTTAATAATATATTTATTTACTTAAAATATTAATTATTATTTTTATTTATTTTTAATAAAAATAACTAATTTATTCATCAAAATAGAGTCGATATGTGGGATGCTGATTAGGAAGCTAGGCTCACAACGTTAGGGAGCCTGACGTGCTTGTTTTAAATTTAATCAGAATTACATTGCCATTAATATGTGACCAAGCCCAATTTATCTCTTCGTGATCATATTAAAATAAGTCCATCTTTTTTTTTAATCGCAATTACGTAGCTTATTTAACAATTGGTAACACGAGCAAAATAAACAAAACCCAAAATCTGACATTTTCAATGAAAGGCATACTTGTTTACCCCACCACTATCCCACAAATACTCCATAGTATTTTACGGAGTAATTCTTATCCGCCTGATATCCCTGCAACCGCCCCTTGTTTTCTTCTTCTCCAATCCATGCTACGCACATATATTCTGAAATTTCCACGGCGGGTTTCTGAAGAAAAACGAAGAAAAATAAGCGCGCAGATCATTTTCCGTCTGCTCTCTTAATTATTGCTGCTATTATTGCAGAGCGATACAATGGATACTACGATCGTTGCCGTCGAAGATTCTAGGCCTGCGACCGGCGAGATCGGAAGTCCTCCTTTCAACGGTGCAGTTACTGTTCACCCATCCCCTGTCCCCTTCAGCTCGGCTGAGGCTACTCTAGGCCGCCATCTCGCTCGCCGGCTTGTCCAGATCGGCGTGGAGGACGTCTTCAGCGTCCCGGGAGACTTCAATCTCACACTCCTTGACCATCTCATTGCAGAGCCGGGGCTCAATCTGATCGGTTGCTGCAACGAGCTCAACGCCGGGTACGCTGCCGACGGCTACGCCAGGGCGCGCGGTGTTGGAGCGTGCGTCGTCACTTTCACCGTCGGAGGACTTAGCGTCCTCAACGCCATAGCCGGCGCTTACAGTGAAAATCTCCCGCTGATATGTATTGTCGGCGGCCCCAATTCGAATGACTACGGGACCAACCGGATCCTCCACCACACCATCGGCTTGCCTGATTTTAGTCAGGAACTGCGTTGCTTTCAAACCGTCACTTGTTATCAGGTCTGGCGTCCATTCCAAAATCAAAATCATTGTCAATTGATTGAATATCCAGATTATATTGTTTTATTTATGAATATTAGGTTCTATACTAATACTAGTATTGATTTCCGATTTGCATATTTAGGCTGTGGTGAACAATCTGGAGGATGCACATGAGTTGATCGATACGGCAATTTCAACGTCATTGAAGGAGAGCAAGCCGGTTTACATAAGTATTGGCTGTAACTTGCCTGGAATCCCGCATCCTACCTTTATTCGTGAACCAGTTCCATTCTCACTCTCCCCCAAGTATGTTCCTTCTTAACCTTCTTAGCTAGCCTTTATACGGAGTAGGTAATTTGAGAAATGTTTTACATGTCTGCAATTTTTTTGGGCAGGCAGGCCACTCTGGATTTTTTGAAATCCTTCTGAATTGCACTAAGAATTGTTGGCTTTCTATAATTTGTTTGTTTGGTTTTGCAATATCAACCATGTAATGGACATGACAATAGCAAATATCTCGATTAATACTCACGTCAATAGCAATTATTTACGCTTGCACGCTTTTAGAATTTTCATATCAGTAGTAATTGGCACCGGGTGTAAAATTTCGGAGTAAGGGCATCTAGTGTAATTGTACACATTTGATAAGCAATATAAGTTTAATCAAACCTAACCCAACGAGTTACAATTAAGGTGTTTGTTACAACTATGTAGCAGCACAAAATGAAAACTTTCTCTGCCTAGTAAATACTCCGTAGTAACTTTAGGCCTCCTGAATAATTTAGATCCTGCTTTAATTTATTTGGCTATTAATGCCATCGACTTGTGTTTCTGTTTATTTTTATGTGACACATACATAGGTTGAGTAATACGATCGGTTTAGAGGCAGCAGTAGAGGCTGCTGCGGAGTTCTTGAACAAAGCCGTAAAGCCAGTGCTGGTTGGAGGGCCAAAAATGCGCGTTGCAAAAGCTGGTAATGCCTTTGTTGAGCTGGCTGATTCTTGTGGCTATGCCGTGGCAGTTATGCCCGCTGCTAAGGGGCTGGTTCCTGAACACCATTCCCATTTCATTGGAACCTATTGGGGAGCAGTGAGCACGGCTTTCTGCGCTGAGATTGTAGAATCGGCTGATGCTTACTTGTTTGTGGGACCAATATTTAATGACTATAGCTCGGTTGGCTATTCCTTGCTCCTCAAAAAAGAGAAGGCAATCATTGTGCAACCCGATCGCGTGGTCATTGCCAATGGTCCTGCATTTGGCTGTGTTCTGATGAAGGATTTCCTCTGTTCACTTGCCAAGAGGCTTAAACGCAACACGACAGCTTACGAGAATTACCATAGAATTTTCGTTCCGGAAGGGCAGCCCCTGAAATGTGAGCCGAAGGAGGCACTTAGGGTCAATATTCTTTTCCAGCACATCCAAAAAATGCTGTCTGCAGAAACTGCTGTCATTGCTGAGACAGGAGACTCATGGTTCAACTGTCAGAAGCTGAAATTACCCCAAGGATGCGGGTAACCATCATAACATACAATGGTCTTTTCTTCATTTTCCTCTGTTCTTCACTTAATAGCTTATTATTGACTTTGTGTTGTACGCTACACTGGTTTTTTAGGTATGAGTTTCAAATGCAATATGGGTCGATTGGGTGGTCTGTCGGCGCGACTCTTGGTTATGCACAAGCTAGGCCCGAGAAGAGGGTTATAGCGTTCATTGGAGACGGTAGCTTTCAGGTAAAAACTTTTTTTCTACTATCCAATCTGCAAATAAACAGCTAATGTAATGCATATTACCTAAATAACACAACACTTCTGTATATTTTATGTTCTAGGTGACCGCACAAGATGTTTCGACAATGCTGCGTTGTGGCCAGAAGACCATCATTTTCCTGATAAACAATGGTGGTTACACAATTGAAGTTGAGATCCACGACGGACCTTACAATGTCATCAAGAACTGGAACTACACGGCACTCATTGACGCAATCCATAACGGCGAGGGCAAGTGCTGGACGACCAAGGTGAGTGAAGTTGATAACTATTACCTTCGTCCCCGAGTATTTGTCCAGTTTTGACTGTTTGCAGTCAACTATTTTCAACCTTTCACCTATAATTAAATAAAATATATATTGTATATTAATAAGATAAAATAATATTTTGAAAATATCTTATAAAATGAATCTAAAAAATTATTTTTGTATCCAAATCTATTACGGAGTACAACTTTTATTTAATTTGCAGTCAAAATTTGCCAATTTTAACTTAAAAAAGTCAAAAGTAGACAAATACTCGAGGACGGAATGGGTAGTATTTTCACCGGAACAGACCTTAAACCGATTGACTGATATACACATAATGGTGTAGGTATTTTGTGAAGAGGAGCTGGTGGAAGCGATCGAGACTGCAACGGGAGAGAAGGAGGATTGTTTGTGCTTCATCGAAGTGATAGTGCACAAAGATGATACGAGCAAAGAGCTGCTTGAGTGGGGGTCTAGGGTCTCTGCGGCTAACAGCAGGCCTCCAAACCCTCAGTAGTAAAGTGAGCAAATGACATATAGTTGTTGTTTGTTGAAATAACAATGTGTTGGGATCAAGTCTCATCTTGATTCTTGAGCATCAGCTTTTGAGTTCCCCTCTTTGTTTTCTGAATGTAGTTTATTGTTCATCTAAATTTTGTTTTTTTTTTGTTTTTTTTGTTTTTTTAAAAACAGTTTTCACCACAATAACATGAGGGGGTGTGTTAATTACTGGAGCACCTTACCAAGGCTCCCTCTTTCGTTTCTGAAGGTGTATCAGTATAACTACTGGAGCATTATTCTTCAACTTTATCTCTGAAGTTTGTTACGTTTCCAATGAAGCCTTTAATAAATTATGGCAAGTTTAGTCTCATGAATAATGAATGGTAAGTATGTTATTTTTTACATTTACTTCTTGCTTTAACTAAAGAGTAATCTCTACTAAGAGTACACAGAGGGTGTTTGTCTATGCTTAAATTACTACAAGTACTTACTAGCTAACTTAATAAACTACGTACCGAGTATAATAAACATTGCAAAATATTAAAACATTAAAGGCTCCGTTTGGTACACGAAATTCAAACTATGAAATTGGAAAGGAAAACAACAATTCAAAAAACTGGAATTGATTGTGCCAAAAACGAATTAGAATTGGAGAATTCAATTTCATCCAAATCAATTCCATATAGATTCAATTTTCAACTCCAATCCAATTTCGTCAATTCTGTGTAATAAACGGATTCTAAGTTAAAAATTACTACAAATTCACTAATTCCCATAAAAGTAAACTATACGGAGTATATAAGAAACCAAAAATTACTAACGACTAATTAACTCTTAACTTAATTAGAGGGTGTTTGGGAGTGTGATGAGTTATGTAAAAGTAGAAGTCATAATTTAGAAGCAGAAAGTGATAGAATTTAGGATGGGTATGGATTACTAGATTGGGTAATAAGACACTTGGGCTGAACCACATTAAAAGATTGAATCCAATCGATTAGTTAGTTCAACTCAAGAGCTTATATACGGATTATTTTGCTCTTGAACTTCCGATGTGGGATGACACTCTAACACCCCCCCTCAAGTGGACAACCGGGCCATTTTGAATCTAACCGGTTGACCACTTGCAAACAAACTCCCATTCCCTTGAATATTTTTTTTTGAGCGCCAACACCTAAAGGACCACGAGCCGCTGGGTATGGACTTCCAGACGAGCAATCGTGTTAAATGGGCCACAGGCCGTTGGGTACATACTCTATTCGGACAACTGGGCTAAAGACAAATGGGCCGCTAGAAATGAACGTCTAGACAGACACCTTGACAAACGAGGTGAGCCAAAACATGCTCTGATACCATGATAAAATTTAGGATGGGTATGGACTACTGGATTGGGTAATAAGACACTTGGGCTGAACCACATTAAAAGATTGAATCCAATCGATTAGTTAGTTCAACTCAAGAGCTTATATACGGATTATTTTGCTCTTGAACTTCCGATGTGGGATGACACTCTAACAGAAAGCATGTATTTTTAGTTTTGCTAGAAAGCACTTCTAGACCTTAATTTTAATTTCTGATGTCATAATTTATAAGCTAAAGCAGATTAGCAAACATTTAAAATTGTGTTTTAATAAAGTAGAAGCTATAAGTTATTTTCAAATGCAATCCCAAACACCCTCTTAGCTAAGGAGTAACTTATTTTGACAAACCCAACATGCAAATAATTAAAATAAAAGATCTAAAACCATAACCTCTAAATATTAACTACCTTAATTAATTAATAACATAATAACTTACTAACCAAAATTCATATAAATTAATTTCGAATTTTTAAAGAAATAAGGTAGAAATTTTAAAATGTGAAAACTAAATAAAAATATTCATAATTGTTCACTTAAGAATTAATTATGTTGCTTCAAGTATTTTTTATAAATGATTAACAAAAAAATCAAATATACGTCTTAAAATAAATAAAATACCTTAAAATTGATGTTGACCAAATCTCTTCAATCGCAATTGTTGAAAAAAATATTGTAGTGAAAAGATGAGATGAAAATGAAATGGTATTATTTTAAAGCGTTGGATAAGGTTCGAAGGGATTTACAGAAGTATGTGAATTGAACCATAATGAAGTAAGTTGAATGGTTGGGTGGGAAGTAATATGGGAGGGAGAATGATGAGGAGGCGTATTGAACTGCTAGGTGGGTGGGTGGGGATTGAATAAATGATGAGTCCAGTAACTTTTGCGTTTTGAAAATGAAAATTTTCATGTGAGAAATTTAGTTCAAAGAATAGAAATTTAAAGAATCGTCATTTTTGTAAATAAAAAACCTTCTCAACCCCACTTTGTGAACCCTCCATTTTGTGTATAATAGTCAAAGTAATTATAAATTGGGTTTGTACTTTTTCAAGTCTTTGCGTCGTTTAATCATATACCTTAACAAAAAATTCAACTATTCTTTTATCCCAGCAAATTATTTATTCGTATGTATATCTCATTTTTCTATGCCAAGTCAGATAGACTATGGAATAACATTCCTGATTCCTGACATATTCTTTTCCATATTTATGATTATGATTATGGTGTATAACCAATACATAGTGCATGTTTTTTATACTTATAAGTTGGTCAAAACTGCTTATAAATACTCCCTCCGTCCCATTCTCTTTGTCTACTTACCTTTTGGCACACCATCCAATGCACTTCTTTAATCCATTTTATCTTGTAATTTGTATATTAAAAAATTATAGAAATTATATATTAATAATCTATATGTTAAGACAAATCAAACAAGATCACACATGACTATATTTAGGCTTACATATTGAGAGAATTTGATGAGTCAAAGTACTTAGATGAACATTTCCAAAAATCAAAAGTGGACAAAGAGAGTGGGACGGAGGTAGTAGTTGTTAATTTATAAGTCGGCTGATGATATATTTCTATGTGCTTATAAGCTGACTTATAAGTTATTTATAAGCAAAAAAATAATTAAGTCTTAGCTACTTATTTTTAAGCCACATTTTTTGCTTATCCGTTTTGAACAAATTATAAACAACGCTGTTCTTCACCATTTATGAATATTTACAAATGATTTATCAATCATTTAAGTCATTTTACTTCCACGAAAGAATATTTGATATATAAGCAGCTTATAAGTTAAAAATCGTTTATCAGTAATAAGTCAATAAGCACCAGCACGTAGAAACACCTCATAGAATGGTATGGTTAACTTTTTTCTGTTCTCCATTTTCTATGGAATCTTATTCCTAATGCTTTTATACTGCAAACCAAGCATGTGCTTATGAGTGAAGGACATAAAATTAAAGCAATGCCAAGACCTCACCGGCCAAAACTTACTTGCCTTTTACTGTTACTCGAACACATTTAAAGTAGACAAAAAGAAGGCTTTTTCCAAGACAGCACAATCCAGGATCCAGAACATAATCCGACCGAGGGCACCATAACTATTGGACTAGGCAGAACACATTGGGCCCGGGAAAAGGGGACAATTTTGAGTGAAAGATTGCCAAAGACAATGTGGGGTCCTGTGGCACCCTTGTGGCTCTCCCAAACGGCATCTATCCATCTGTCTGCAGCTTGCTTGGTTTGGCAACTAAACAGCCATTGCCGAGCAGGAAAGAAGGGAAAGGGGCATGACATGAGGAGACATGTGCCTTAAGTCTGGGAATGTTGGGATGGGCACTACGACATCTATGGCATCTCAACTCCATTGCAAGCAACTTTTCTTCGTCATCCCTCCGCGTAGCCTTTCCATTTTGACTGACTTCCTCTATCACATCAACTGAATCCCGGAAGAATGGGGTGCTGAACGAGTTCCAATGCTTCTTATTCTTCAGATTCTTCGAGTTGAAATCTTGGCTGATCACATGAAGATGCAGCTGTCGCATTGATGGCTCCTGCAGCAATGGACTTCATATCACACACATATATATCTATGAAGCTATGGAGCTTGTTTGAGATGACTTATAGTACAATTAGTGCTTTAATCATTAAAAAAACTCAAAAAGAGTACTTTTGTTCATCAAATAGTTACTGGATTCCTAAAAATAAGTCATCCCAAATGCTCTCATAACATAAACATGGAGTGCGAACATCAAAGTACAATAACAATTGATGTAACACCATACTGAATGGTATCCAAGACGGAACACTAATGATTCGTTTTCATTCAAAAACTTTTCTGCCCACTTCAGGCCAACAGCATGCATAGTCTCAAGCATTGGGATGTGCTCTTTGCAAATATCTTTGAGTTGATCAAGGCCTTCAACTCTTGCCAACACAAGTAGGTGCTTTTGAGCCTGTCAGAAAAATAGACTGCAATTTGTAAAGCGAATAAAAGCCACCAGGACAAAGGCAGGGTGTTCGAAATGAGATTGAAAGAGATTTAAAACAGAGAACCTTTGGATGCTTATCATTCAGCACCACAACATCGCACGATGCTTCTAACACGTCATTCTTATAGTTTTCAGGATGCATGGCAATGTCATACAGTGCTTGAGCCCATGAGCCCCAAGTTTTCTTCGGATATTTTTGCTGAAAGCAGTTTGTAGCAAGAAGACACTCACTGGAGGGTCCACATTCTTTCGGAAAGCTTTTACATTTTTTGCTCGTGGATTCAAAATCAGCTTCCCTCTTAACCTTCTGGTTACAATTCTGAGAATCTCTTAACTGTTGTTGATCTTGTGATTTAAAGGAACTTCCCTCATAAAAATCTCCCTGGCTCCTTATTACCGATGCAAATCCATCAAAAAGTGATGAGTAAGCTTCAGAAAGAATCTTGCAGCCCTTAACATAGTCGTTGTTTAAACAATTCGGTCTCTTGGGATTCATATTTGGCCCAACAACATGTATCACATGAGTTACACCTTCCCTGCTAAACAGGGGTGATGACGAAGGAAGAGGAACCACAACAGCTTTTCCGGGTGCTAGGGATCCAATTCTTTCCTTGGTTGCACATTCCAGGGCTGGACCTGCAGCATTAAATATTGCTGCATTTGTCCCACCTCCTCCTGGTTTAAGTCGCCTGCACAAAACTCATGTTTCCATTATTTTACTACTGAGTAAGTTTTTATATAGCTGTATATAGAAGAGATAACAGTGTTGGGTTCTCTTTTAAAACAGAATCCATGAAGAGAAAAAATTTACCAGTTGGCAGCATTAGCAATTACATTGCAGTGTAACCCTCCAACAGAGTGTAGCTGAGTTATATCACCAACAAATGTAAAGAACTTATTAGGGTCGATGTTCTTTTTTGCAGCTTTATTGTTGACCATGGAAAGTATTTTTGATTCACGCGACAAATCGACCAAAACAAGCCTAGCATTTCCAAGTTTATCCACAAATTCTTCTACTTTATCAACTATGATGTCAGATGCCTTCTCAAGATTGAACTGGAAATCTGCTGTAGAAATGGAAGGAAATGCTAAGGTAGGAACATTGTGTGAAGACGTGGAAACACGAGTAGATACAGCAGTTTCTAGCTCCTCACTGTTCTTTGCATCATTGGAGACAGGAGCTGATGTAGAAGTACCATTTTCTCCCGCAGGATCTACTTTCTTAAGGAACCTCATTATGCCAAGTTGAATCTTAGCATTTGGAGTCCTCTGACCAAAACAACCTGATGGAAGTGAATCCGACGAATCAAGTCCACAGTACGTATCAATAGCAGCTTCAACATCTTTTTCATCTTGACAAAATGTAATACGTGCAAATCCTTCACTCAACAAGGGCAGTTCTTTCTTTTGAAGCATCCTATTAACAACTGCAGCAGATTTCCCGCCTTGCAAATTTCCTTCATGGCCAGTGCGTTTCACAGACCGAGATATACAAACTTTAGCAGGAAGGTCAAGCACCACTGCATGCTTCTCAACCGTTGAGTGACCACCAAGCTTCATAAAGTCTTCACGTTGTTCTCTATCCAAGTTGCACCTGTCTATAAACACACTTTTACCTTGCCCCAAAGCAGAAGTTGCAGCCGTTAAGCATTTTGCCTTTGTCCCTGTCTTGCCATTACCAATTGTATCCTACACTATAGGGAACAAATTAGTATTACCATTCCAAACCAGCCAAGAATAACATGAACACCTGTTTGCATCAAGAACTGCATGTGTTTCATTTTAGTCTTCCTTTTTCTATTATACTTAAGATCCTTTCTCCAGAACTTTTTACACACGTTTAGTACTTACATAGTTCTCCAAGCCAATAGTAGAATATGATGAAGAAAATATCCATTGCCACACATTGTACATACCAAGATGCACATGAATTTCGAGAGATCATAAGCATGAAGTGCATGTAGAAGAAAAATGGATTTCCCATTCACGCAATTTGTCGAACATGTCAAGTGCAATAGTTTATAGACTTAGTAGATACACCATAAAAGGATGAAAAGGCAGAAGGTGAACCTGGCAAACACGAACCCAGTGGCGGGAAGATGCGCTCATGACCCGATCGCAAAACGTAGACTTACCACTGCCCGGCGCACCCACCATCACCACCATTATTGCTGTACTGCTCTTCTCTTCTGCTCTACTTCTTCCTGGTTTCAGAAATAAAGAATTCAATTAACAAGTTTTAAGTAATCGAAACAAATTTTTGTCAATCCGAGCATTCTATTGACCTCCGGAAATAGCGTCCTGATCAACATCCATTTCCTTTTCCATTTCGAGCAAACTAATTCCAGGTTCGTCGAGAGCTTCAGGTGCCAAATACTTGAGAGCTTTGGGATCCAAAACGTGAAGCTTGAGCGCCCAAAGATGGGAAACCTGAAATCTCCCTTTTGAGTCTAAAATCGGAAACTGTGATGGGTCTATATTTTTTGTTGTGAGTAATCCTAGAAACAAGATTTACTCACTCAAATTATAAAGAAAATTTATAAACTTGCTTTCTAAATACTCCGTATTTTACTAGAAACAAGATTTACTCACTCAAATTATAAAGAAAATTTTAATTTAATATCAACAAAGGCTAGTTAGTGGAGTTAGTAAATTATTTGTTTGTGATTTTAACATTTTCTTTTTGTTATCGAAGGTAATCCAAGTTATAAGAGTATTAAAGATGAAACGAATTCTACGGCGTACCAACTCACTCCAATCACATGAATACGTCCTTACATTTTTACAATCATGAATAATAGAATTCAAATACGACTAATCATTTGAAATAGAGTATTATTTTTGGGCACCTCTTATCTTGCCAAATGTATTACGCCTAACCTAATATACGGAGTATATGTTATACTCCCTCCGTCTCTAAAAGATACTCCGTATTTCCTTTCATTTTTTTGTTGTCCCCATAGGTGTTCCCTTACTATTAAAACATATTTTTACCCCTTATTATTTTTTAATGTCTTACCTATAACATCATACGTGTTTACTAATAATCTACACATAACATTTTATTTTTACGCATCACATCAAAAAAAAATTTGAAAAATTAACATAAAAACATCTCTTTCTTAAATTTTCAAAAAGTCAATAAAGGAAAAGGAAGATGTTTCAGGACGGACGAAGTACGGAGGACGTACACCCTAGTCTATGTCCATTTTCCCATGGGCATGCCGTTATTCATTAAGACTGTATTTTTCTTTGTTTTTCATACATTGACAAAAAAACTAGTTTAATGTACTTCTTCTGCTAAAAAAAGTATTACACTTTTTGCTACTTAAAAATTACAATTTTTTTTTGTTTATTTGTATGTTTTGATTATTTATTTGATAAAATAAAATATTCTTATCTCTTATTTTATAGAATTTGACATAATTGTTAAATATGTAATTTTTATTTTTAATTTCTATATCAATCTTTAAATAAAAAGAAAAATTCAAAGCAATACTTTGAAAAATTCCCGATTTCACAAGAATAGTTCAAAAATCAATTAATTAGATTTCTACTCTCACAATTGCTGTACAAAAATTTTTCACCCACCGGCCACCACCTCACTTTCACAATCTATTGGGTAATATCTACATTAATTTTTAAACTAACAACTTGGAAAATAAATCACTTTGTTTTTCAATTTTCATGCAAAAATAAATAAATTATATATTCTTCCTCCAACTAAGAGTTTATTCTTTTATGTTGAAAAAGTTAACTTCCAACTTTAATTTTTAAACTTTTTTCAATTTTTTTACAACTCCTTATAGTTCCTTCCAACATTTAACTTTAAAATTCCAACCGAAAATGAGATGTCCTAATTGTGAGAGACGTGATTGATATTTGATTTGGAGAAAGAATAAGTAATTTTTTTTATAAAAACCAAAAAAGTAATATTTTTCAACTCATCACTTTAAAAATCTATTTGGATAGTACATAATTTTATTATGCAAGTAAGGTGGTGGGTAAAGTATTTTTGTAAAAAGAGATCAATTTTGGGAGTAATAGTGTAATTAATTGATTTTTGGAGTATTTTGTGAAATCCGAAATTTTTCAGAGTATTGTTGTGAATTTTTTCAAAATAAAATAAATTTAAAAAATTTGAAATTTCACTTAATTTTGTATGAAATGTAAATTAAAACATTTTGGGATGGACTAAGTACATATAACTATCTTTAGATTCATATATTTTTTAATGTATCAAAAAGCCATTTAATTTAGTGAAATTTGTACTAAATAGTACTAAAACATACTCCCTCCGTACCTTTAAACACTTTTTATTTTGACTCTGGGCCAAAATAAGAAAAGTGTAATTTTAGTTGACTTTCCAATTTTGTCCCTGATGTGATGGGTAAAAGTAAGATGTGATAGTTTGGTTATTAGTGAAAAAGTATGATGTGATAGGTAGGGTATGAAAAAGTAGGGGTAAAAGTGGGTTCTTAATAAAAAGTGAAAGTGTTTTAAAGAATTGGAAAAAAACGAAAAGAGAAGAATTTTATGGAACGGAGGGAGTATGTCTTTTCTCAATGTATTACTCCGTATTTAAAATTTTTTTATCCTCTAAATAGTACTTAAATAATGTTGAGAGACAAGAACAATGTCCAGTGGCGGCGGACATTAGTAAACATTATATTGAACACTGGTACTACATTGGAAAATTTAAACATATGATACTACATTGAGAAACTCAAAATGCTTTAGTACTATGTACCTAATTTCCCTTAACTTATTGGAATAAGCTAAAGGAAAGAATATATATTCCGTATATTTCTCTATATATTATTGACCAATCCAGTAAACCTTTCCACGTCCTAAATTTTATGAGAATAGAAGCTATATATGGTAAATTTAAAGGAGGAGCACAATTTTGCTAGTGATGCCACGTAGATCGAAGTCTTAGCTATTCTCACTAATTTAATGGACACACGTATAGAATGAGTACGTATCGATCCGGCACGCTTGTAGCTTCCCCATATACATACATACATACATACGCGTTCCAAATAAATTTACCAATTCAATACAGAAATCAAACGTAAAAAAAGCACGTAACTCACAACCATGCGACTTGTTCTAAATCCTCATCTTCTCTTCTTCTTCTTTTTAGCACTCCCTCTTTTAGGGGTCGCGGCGGCCGCCGGCGTGGATGACGACGGCCGAGGCCGGGCGATGCCGGAAAGTGACGTGGATCTGCTAGAGTTCCCGCTGAATTTGGAGTACTTGGAAGCGGAGTTCTTCTTGTGGGGTGCTTTGGGTCATGGCATTGATAGATTCGACCCCGGACTTTCCTCCGGCGGCCCGTCTCCGATCGGCGTAACCGCCGCCAAATTGAGTCCCCTCGTGAGGGATATTATCGCTCAATTTGGGTTTCAAGAAGTTGGGCATTTGAGGTAATTAGTTTCTTTATTGAATGCTTCTATCGTACAATTACTTTGGGTACATACGTGGATCTTTTCACATAATTTTTTTTATTTTTTAATAAATAAATAAATACTTATTTAAGTAAAACTTGTCTTTTCTTTATTATGAGATCCGAATAGGGTGGATCGAATTACTTATGTATGCGTCTAATTGGATAACTCTCTTTTAGACGTACTATCTCATCTCAAATAAATCTTTTCTGCCTAAAAAACGGTACCCTAAAAATATTCAAGTATAATTTTTATATTATATTAATTTTTTGCCATTATTTTATAATAGAATATGATATAAAGGGTAGGATAGATGACTCATTATTTGAAAAAAAAACACTAAAATTGTTGGTATATTTTAAAGCACACCTTTTTTTTAAAATTGTAGGAGTTTGATTTAATTTTTTGGGGACCGGGGGAGTATCGAAACTTGATCCGACTTATTTTTAATTCAAATAGCAACCAGAAAATATTGAACTCTGAATAAAAATTTTGTTGGTCGAATTCAAATTTAGGGAGTACAGGCTAAAATTAGGTCCAATCGATTGAAAAACAAAAATTTATTTATTTTAGATGAACAAAAATAATTTAGGTCCACTCCTTCACGTAAGTTTTAGATCCATGTAACACTGCATGCACCATTTCACATTAGTTAATGAATACTCCTTCCGTCTTATAAAATCTTTTACCTTTTTTTTCATTCCTTTCAAAAAAATATTTTTCATTTCTGTTAAAAAATTTATATTATTCCTTCTAATTTTCAATCTACCAATCACATCATACTTTTTCAATATTAATCTACCCATCACATCCAATGGCAGGTTTAGAAAGTCAAAACAAAAATGCACTCCGCTTAAATTAAAAGTCAAAACAAAAAAGGTTTTGTGAAATGAAGAGAATAAAATATTGTATATATGTACTTATTAAAATGTTATGAAAATAAAAACCAATTCAAGGGCTAGCGTCCCAAAAAATATCATGCTTTAATTTCATGGATTTTATAATAGGAAGAGTTTAAAACAATACTACCAAAAATCTCTAATCTTACAAGAATACTCGAAAATTAATTAACTACACCATTAATCCTAGAAGTGCTCTAATTTTACAAAAACAATTTGCCCGCCACCTCACTTGCACAATCATACTGTATTTTGTAATATCTCTATTATTTTTTAAGTGATGACTTGGCAAATAAATCATTTTTATAGTTTTCATACAAAAAAGAAATAGATTACTTATTCTTCCTTCAACTCAAATTTCAAACTCCTATTTTAAGGTTTTGTTTTGGAAGAAAAAATATAGATAAAAATGATTTTTTAATAAAAAATGAAAGTGTTTTAGGGAAATAAAAAAAAATTAAAGAGTGTTTTAAGAAAGGGATTGAGTTTAGTACTCCCTTCGTCCCTAAATAAACTTCTCTTTTCTTTTTTTCTTTGTCCCCAAATAAACTTCTTTTTTTCCTTAAAAAACTCCTTTTACCCCTTACTTTTTCATACCCTACTTATTACATCATATCTTTATACTAATAATCTACTCATCACATCTTACTTTTACACACCACATCAAGGGTATTTTTGGAAAGTCAACACAAAAATATCTCTCCCTTAAATCTTCAAAAAGTCAAAAAGAGAAGTTTATTTAGGGACAGAGAGGGAGTATATGTTTGATCTTGGTTGTTTGCAGCTAGTTTTGGTCGGGGAGTGGAACATTATTTAATTGTGTGACGTAGTAATTAAGTGGGGGCATGCATATTATGATGCAGGGCCATCAAAGAAACGGTTCCAGGTTTTGCGAGGCCGCTACTGAATTTGAGCAAAGAAGCATTTGGTACAGTTATGGACAACGCATTCGGGCGCCCCTTGAGACCGCCTTTTGATCCCTACGCCAGCGATCTCAATTTCCTTATCGCAAGTTACGTTGTTCCTTACGTTGGACTCACCGGCTACGTTGGAGCAAACCCCAAACTCCGTAGCGCCACCGCCAAAAGGGTATATATCTAAAGTAGCTAGCTAGCTACATTAATCAATTTATTCCATTATAGTTTTAAAATCAAAGATTAAAAAAATTTACTCCCTCCGTCCTACAACGTTCTTCTCAGTTATTATTGACATGGTCAAATTTTAATCTTTTTTTTACCTATTTTCGTTATTTATATGATAAAATAATATAGTCTTGTCAAATATTCTTTTTTAAAACTTTTGATTTAGTTTTTATATACTTCTAATTTTATTTTTTAATTTTACACCTGCAATCAAATAAAATGAATTAAAAATAAAATCGGTCAAGCCTCATAAACAGAAACGGGAAGAACATCTTAGAACGGAAGGAATATATATTTAGAAATTACATCTAAAAATATACAAAATAGGAGGTGACATCACTATCTCATTTAATCAAATAGCTAATGAAAATTGATATAAAAAAGTTGATTATAGTTTGACAAGAAATCGTTAGGGTTCGGGCAGTATATTCTTAATCGGCTAGATTTTGTAGCCACTCTCTTTTAAGTGGCTATGAAAGACATTGTCCCAATTGAGATAATTACGATGATCTGTTTGCAAAAATGATAATTTCTGTGTCTTCCTAGCCCTAGAAACCCCCCACTAGTCAGTCCCGACCTCAACTCATCCTCCAACCAACGTCAATTAGATCAGACAAATTTAGTTTATTTTGAAGTCAAAATTTTTTACTCCAAAATTAACTAAACTTATGTAGTGCAATTGATATAGATATAAAGATTGATTGGGGACTTGGGAGGGGAGGGATTACTGGGGATTAGAGAATAGAAACTAGAAAGTACCCCCTCCTCCCTTCTAAATTGCATATAAAAAATGAGATTAACATTAATTCATGTGTTTTGTATGTATGTTAATGAAGGAATTAATACTAGTGATTACTTTGTATTTTTATGGCGTTGAATAGTTAGTGGCGGGACTTCTGGGGGTGGAATCAGGGCAAGACGCAGTGCTAAGGACGTTGCTTTACGAACGGAAGAAGGAAGTGGTGGCGCCGTACGGGATGACGGTGGCGGAATTCACCGGCCACATTTCCGCGCTGAGGAACAAGCTGGGTAAAAAGGGGCTGAAAGATGAAGGGTTGATCGTGAAGCCAACCGAGGGGCCGGAGGGGAAGACCTCCGGCAACATTCTCGCCGGAGATCAGCATTCGTTGGCCTACGACCGGACGCCGGAGGAGATACTGAGAATTGTTTATGGGACCGGGAAAGAAAACAAGCCCGGCGGTTTTTACCCCAAGGGTGGTGATGGAAAAATTGCCAAGTCCTTTCTTGACTGATTAAATTAATAAGAATCCCACTATATGTACTCCATAATCTATGACAACAATTCAAAACTTTTTTTTCTCTCCCTCGCTACTTCTGGTTTAAATGTGCACAACTTTTCAAATGGACAAAATCATACTATCTTCGTGTCATATATTTCTTCTGATTTGATACACCTTTAAAATGAGTAGTTTTATTATTTACTTTTAATTATGACTGAAGAATGTATATTTTCCTTCAATAATTGTATGAGAGTATATGTGTTTATATATACAAGTATTCTTAATCCTACGTAAGGTAGGAGAATATAATAGGACACAAGATTTATACAATAAATATAGAATATATTTAACATGATATCAATCAAGCGATGGAGAAGAGCTGAAGAAGGAGCTTTAATCTATGCCTTTTGATTTCTTCCCTATTCGAGTGCTTAGTGTTCTACTATGCTCATCAAGACCCAAAATAGAGGCTATGATATACTCCGTACAAAACTAATGATATATTTTGTCAATTCTGAATTTTTGAGGCTACGATCTACAAAACTAATCGTATACCAATTAAAGGAGTACCTAAAGTACTTCGATCGAAAAATTGGTTGATCCTATTCTAATCCTAAACCTTGGTAATAAACCCATAACCGGACCCATCATAACGTACCCCTACACCTTCGGAGGGCATAAGAAAATGAAAGTGAAGACTTTTGAAGATGAGTAAGTATTAATATGAGTTATATGAGTTTTATTAATCATATTGAAGGTTGGTCTGGTTTGTTCCAGTTTCTGCTCATTTTAAAAAACATATTTTAAATCGATTGTTTGGTAATTACTTCCTCCGTTCTCAAAAACATTTCCTCTTTCATTTTTTCCACTTCCAACAAAACACTTCCCATTTCTATTAAAAAACCACTTTTACCCTTACTTTTTCATACCCTACCTATCACATCATACTTTTTCTCTAATAATCTATCTATCACATCTTACTTTTACCTATCATATCGGGGGCAAAATTGGAAATCAACTATAATTTAACACTTCTTTATTTTTGTCCCCAAATCAAAATGGGAAGTCTTTTTGCAAACGGAGGGAGTACCAAACAATCGCTACAAAAAGTCCTTCCCAGAATGGCGTCATTTTCTGGGAAATGCCTTTTGAATCGGTTATTTGCTAACAACCAATTGAAAAGGTCCTACCTGAAATGGTATGGTGTCATTTCTGGGAAGGATTTTTAAATCAGTACTTTTGTAATAACCGATTCAAAAGAACCTTTCCAAAGTGACGCCAAATATGGAAAGCACCTTTAAATCAATTAGTACTAAATAACCAATTTAAAAGGTCTTTCTAGAGCGCGAATAATAATGTAGGCATAGAGGACTTTTTGCAAAACAGATGCAAAAATTATTTGCACCAATGGCATCGCTACTTTTTGTATCGGTTAGGAATCGATTCAAAAGGTAAAATAACTATTCAAACAATAGACCTGGACCCAATTCAACCTCAAAAGTTAATTCAAGAAGTTGAGCCCCAAGCTATTAAATAGCAGCACATTATAAGGATACATTGGCGATGTGGGATGAACAAGTCAACACGCCCCTCTCGCACGAGGCGCAGATTACTATGGGTTCGGTCCCAACATCAATGACTTAGCTCTGATACCAGGTGAAAATGAGAAGATAAAAGAAGAACAAACTAAAGAAAATATGAACAACTAAAGTTTCCCTTTTCAAGTATTTGCCTGAATAAATTGGACCATGCTACATTTACACCAATATTTGTACCCCATTTATACACCGCAGTTATACACAAACATTTTGATGGTTTATACCGACAAAAATGTGGGTGCGTTAATAAAAATTTACACGAACATAAAGTGTAAGTGCGTTAACAAAAAATAGTTTTACACTAACACAAAAATGTTAGTACAAATTTGCGGGGTACAAAGTGGGATACAAAAGTTGTAACATGTGAAGTGTGAACAACGTAACTAAAGTTTCCCTTTTCAGTTCATACTTCATACCCACGAGCTTCCCGCCCTATCTCCCACCTGTATTCCCCCAAATATAAATAATCAGCAAACCGCCCCCCTGCAAATTGCAAAATGCAAATCAAATCCAATAATATACTAAAATCATTGTAATTATTCAATCACCAGGCCCATCTTCAAGAATGCAACTAGTTAGCATGATATGCATGGAGGCCGCCGCCGCCGCAGACAATAAGCAACGGAAATGCCCCACAAAATTGGATCTCAGCGCCCCACTTTTATCGGCCAGAACTCGCAGGGCGTCCATTATCCTTCCCAATGATGATGATGCTCCTCCACTCACGGCGGAGTCCGACGGCGATGATATATGTAACCGAATCCCCTTTTCTTGGGAGGAGACCGCCGGGAAACCCAAACGAGCAAGGGATGTTCGGGCGGTCTGTCCCGTCCCCTCACCGCCACCGGGGAGAACATATGACGAAGGGAGCGTCGAGAGCAGAGAGATACTGTTGTACTCTGACGCTCTCGACGCTTTCTCGTCGTCGGACGATGAAGAAGAGGAATCTTCTTCGTCCTCTGACGAGGGGGAGGATTTCAAGCCGGGGGATTTCATCTTTACGCGGTTTTTGAAGGACGCTGAGGCGCTGGCGACTAAGGGCGGGGGTTCGCGCGGCCGGATTGTTAGTCGGCCGGCTGAATCCTGTTTTGCCCGGGCGGCGCTGAGCGTGGGACAGATGCTGTACGAGCCTCCCTGCTGCGGCAGGGCATGTGGGAGGGACATCTTGCCGCCGTGGAGGATGAAGGTGGAGCCACCGTGCGGCGGCGGCGTGAGGGACTCGGTTGTGGCGGTTGCTTTCTCTAGAGGAAAGGAAATTAAAACGATACACTTTTCTTGAAGAGTGATTGGCTTATTTTGTGGATATTGTCATTTAAAAAAACATTTTTTATTTAAAAAAATAAATACTTATTCAAATACTAAAGATGCTTATTTTTCTTATATATAGGTCCATAGCTAATATTATGTCTACCATAAAATTTGTTCTCTTGAAAGTTGTTAACTTTTATTGTAACACAACCAAGATGAAAATATCTTACCAATAAATTACACCATATAAAATGACACATATTTGTCTATAAGTATAGAATTGTAATTTGTAAATGGTATAATGACTATAATCTCACCACTCACATACAATTCCTCCCTTTTACATTGCCTTAAGTTCTTGCAATTTTTCTTTTTTGGCCTATCATAATCTTATGACCGAACGACTTCAAAAAAAAAATCTTATGACTGAACCAGTAAAAAATAATTAACTTCGACAAACCTCTCCTTTCCTAAATATAATCATTGATAGGAGTATTGAAGAAGTGCTAATTTAGTATAAATTTAATTTAGAGTGAATTCTAAAATGGTTCTTTCTAATTATTTTTTTTTCAAATTAATCCTCAGTAAGTTTTAATTATTTATATGATATTTTATAAATGAGATTTATTTCCTAAGGGTAATAGTTCATAAAAATGTCACTTAAATGGTGATTAATTAGAAGGCATTTTGATATTTTCATTATTTAAACTTAATGTAAATTTTCAAAATAGTCATTTCTGTACAAACTCATTTAAAATTAAAACAATCATTGATTATACATAATCAATGAATTATTAAAAATCTATCAAATATTTTAAAATTTGAATCAAATACACTGCCTTAATTAAAAAAGACCATTTTGGACAAAAAACTCAGTAGAAATGATAAATTTAAGAACTTATTCTAAGTTTAAATGATAAAAAATACAAAAATATTCTTTTTTGTACTCCCTCCAGTCTTAAAAACGTTTAATGTTTTAACTTTTTTTTGGTTAAACATTGACACTCTTTGACCATAAATTAAACACTAAATAAATAAATGATATAAAAATTTGATATATCAAAACAAAATGCTAAAATGAATCCAATTATATTGAATTTGTATTATAATTAAATACTCCGTATGATTTTCTCACAATTTATGGTCAAAGAAAATCACTATTTGACCAAAAAAATCAAAACAAGAAAGGTTTGTAGGACCAAAGGGAGTACCATATAGGTAATTTGAACTTATTGAAGACTAATATAAAAAACATCTCATTTTAAAGGACCATTTTAGGAATTTACTCATAAATTTAATACAAATTCATAATAAAATGATTCATTTGTTTGCGAAGAAAATCTTCTTTTCAATGTCCCGCAACTTTCATGCTGGCGTTTTTGAATATTTTAAAGTGAAATTTGCATTGAATACACATACATTACAGCTATTTTAAAAACAGATTTTATAGTCGTTTGGCGCATGGGGAGAAAATGAAAAAGACATCCATGAATACACATACATTGCAGCTTCACATCAGCAAGTTTCATAGAAAGCAAGGACAAGAGGAAAGTACCGTTTGATCGTAGTAGCACATCAAACCAAACAAGGCATTACAAGATACATGACCGATCGCAGCGTTGTCTTCGACCGCTCTAAAACTTATCTACACAGACCCCACTCCTGTCGTGGTCATAAGTAGCCCTCTCCCGGGTTTTCTTCATCCCTGCCGTGAAGTGGAGCTTCGGTCCTGCAGATGTAATGGCAGTGACCTTAACCCAAACACTAACCACCTTTGTTTTCATTCCCTCAATGTCAGCTAGCTTTCCCTTCTGGAGAAATCCTTTCACAGTGGTGTTAAAGCGCAAAACAGAGCCGTCACTGTAGCCCACTTCACAAACAGAGGGTATGTGGACAACGAGCTCTTTTGTGTTTTCGTTGAACTCATAGTGTGTCGCGTCGCGAGGGAAAATGCCTTTTGGCAAGTCGTACTCCTTTAGGAATTCCAGCAGCGGCGTCTGTATCTTTCCTGCAAATGAAATATAAAGGGAAGCCACAATGTTCCTATTAAAATTGCTTGTTATTTGTTTTTGCAAGCTTTGTGAGGACAATATACAAAGAAATGAAACTCGTATCAGATTGAAGGAATGGGGGAAATAAATAATAAAGGCATATGACGCAAACCTTTCGCTTTGTTAAACAACCATTGGGTTCCCTCTTTAATACTGGCGTGCAAGGACTATTTGGAAAAACAAAAAAAGACGTGATATTAAAACTGGTGAAAATGAAAAAAACAAAATAACTCAAAGGGTTATATATTGCTAAAAACGTAGCGGCACACAGACTAAAAAATAGGATTGTGTGGTTGATACTGATGTTAAAAGAAAAAGTAAATATTAATGTAAGGGGCTGTTGGGCAACTTCTGAATAGGTAAGTGCTGAATCAGTAAGAGGTCTGAACTATTAAGTGCTGAACCAGTAAGAGGTCTGAACCATTAAGAGCTAGTATATTGCTTAACTATTCAGAAGCAAATGTCTGATCAATTCAGAGAAGAGGTCTTAACCATTCAGACTCTGTATAATACCTAACCATTCAGAGGCAAATGTCTGAGCCATTCAGACATCTGAACCATTAAGAGGCTGAAACCATTAAGTGATGAACCATTCAGACATCTGAACCATTAAGAGGCTGAAACAAACAGCCCCTAAGTTACACAAACACTACTAAATATGATATGGGACAAACATTAATAAATACGGAGTATGATATAGTAGTAGCACGTAGTTACCTTACCTCTATTCTTCATCTTTTAATAATTGATTGTTCTAATATGTTTTTATGTGTTGAGTTAAAGGCCTTTCGAAAATAGCATCTCTACCTTTTATGTAGGACGAAGATATGCATACACACACCCTCCTCACACTATTTGTTGGACCATACTGGGCTGTTGTATACATCATTCTTTACATAATACTACATATCATGTTTAACGCACAAAACAGGAAAAGAAAAGAAATAGTTTATGAAAATGGCATAGTTCTTGAAAGGGGAAGTCAATTCCCAAAACAGAAAGGGCAAAAAATGTCTTTGGTTCATTAACCGGAGCCGAGCATCAAAAGAAGACTATAACTTCTAGAAGTACTGTTCATCCAGAAAAAGTATGACTCTAAGGGATCAGAAGAGATCCTCCAGATAGATGGAGAACCCCTCTCTTGCCCATGGCTAGAAGAGGAAAAACTTTGAGTCCCCGGTGACTAATTAAAAAGAATTTTTTAATTGCTTCCCCGTCAACCTTCATTTCAATAAATTTCCTTTAAAAATACTTAACGCATACTCCCTCCAACCTGAAATGTTCTTCCCATTTTCCTTTTTGGACTATCCGGAAATGTTAATCTCATTACCTTATTTGGCAAAATATTTTATGCAAAATGTCTTATTTACCCTTTTGAATAACCCTACGCAGCACCTCCATGCTCCCTCTCTTCAACGTCTTCTCACACAATCTCAAATCCTCAAAGATTTTAAAGCAACGAAGCGGATCCACCTATTATTGTGTGCCGGTGACACATTGCAGAACAACTTGCTCTGGAATGAGGCACGGATGGCGGAGCTGTCTCGATCTAGGCAATCCGAGTCCTTCTAGGTGATAATGCTCAGATCTGGCTTCATTAGAGTGCCGGACTAGTACCTGCCGGTGTACGTCGGAGACAAAAGGGAGAGATATGTGATGAGAGCGGAGCTCCTCAACTACCCTGTCTACATCCGCCCCCTCAACAAAGATTGGACTAAACATCACAAGTTTTGTACTTGTGTTACCGACCCATTGATGACTTCCAATCTGGTGATGTATTCTCCTTATAGTGTCGCTATCTCACTTGCTGGTCTGAGAACATATTATCATTTCTACCGGCTTGCAGCCAATTATCATGTACATACCCAAGCATGTCAATTGGATGGGTTTACTGAAATTTCTTACAGCTATTAACGATATGTCATTTACATGTAGAACAATCAGGGTGTTGTTATAGTCGTGGGAAGACTACCTTATTGAATATTCACATCACAAAAAAATGTCACCTGCCAGCTCTGCGGCCTCGGCCATTAAGGAATGAGGGATATTTGGAATACTTTGAGCACTGGAGTTGGGGATGATAAGTTCAAGAATTGCTATGGAGATGACCCGCAATGTCAAAGAGGCTTAATAGGAATTTGTGATAATTTAGACATGATAAAACGATTTTAGTCGGGTCTTTCATGAAGCGGACATCGACCAACTCTACATCTGTCAACCAATTACTGCAAGATGGGCATGCAATGATTAACCACATAGAGAATAGGGACAAGCAAGACCTACACTATGCGCGCCGACCATCAAATTATGTGCAGAGTATTACATTACTTCTATAGTTTAAACTATAGACCCAGCAGCAACTAATTTCTACCATCACCAATCAAAACAGATAAATACTCCCTCCATCCCATTAAAGAGTCCTGCTTCGTAACATAAATTTGTCCAGAAAGAGCCTATTTGAACAAAAACAAGCTAGTTTTCATTGCAATAGATGTATTTGTTAGAAAAAAGGGCCACAAACAAGTTAAATGAAGTTAAAACCAAGCTTCAAAGAAAACCTAGCTGATTAAAAAAGAAAAGTAACAGCAAAATTTCATCTCCAGAACTCAAGAGATTCCTCCCCGATTAAGCAAAATTAACCCCAAAAAAAGCAATTGATTGATGCAAAACTATACGGGATCGGAGAAAAGAAAGGAGGGAGGGGCTTACGGTTATGTCGTCGCCGACGGAATTGAGCTCCTTGTTGGCTCTCTTGCTAAACCAGTAAGAACCCACCTTGTTCAATATCTGATCCATTTCTGAATTACTCCGTGGATGAACCTCACAACAGCACGCAGTGGTTGGATGATGTCCCGGATCCCTAATCTGGTTTGGGATTCAGAGATGGGGAATGGAAATTTTGGTAGAGGTGTAGTCGTCCACGAGGCTTGCTAGCGAGCGCCAATAGCTCTACCTTCGCGGCTTCCGTCCACCAATGAGAACACACGCAAGCTTTTTTTTTTTTGATAATCTACTCCGTGTGTGAGATGCACGCGCAAAAAGGAAGTGACTAGTTCAACATTTTACTATTTCAAGGTATTAGTAGGTGTATATACCTAGACCTGGCAATCGGGTCAATCGGTTCGGTTCCGGTTCGGGTCTTTTCGGTTCGGGTCTTTTTCGGATATATGTTATAATCGGTTCGAGTCGGTTCGGTTCCGGGTTTATTTCGGTTTGATTGGTTTTTGGTT